GTGATGGTACACGTCGAGATACACATTCGGCATGTAATGCTGTTTGAATACAAGAAGGGAAACAACTCCCCTGTAGCCACAAAGAATATCAGAGAAGTTTATGGAAATGTTTCGAACGTTCTTAAGTGTCAACGATGGTTCAGCAAATTTCGTTCAGGTGACTTTAGCCTCAAAAATTTTGATGGCAGGGGCCGACATGTTGTAATTGATATTGATGTTCTGAAGACGCTTGTTGAGTCTAACCCAAGGCAACACTCTCGTGAAATGGCTCTGAAATTGCATGTATTTTATGAAACAGTACTTAAACATCTAAAAAAATATGGGAAAACTTCGTAAATAATGTGTTTGGGTGCCTAACAAACTCTCCCATGATCATCGTTTCCAACGTGTGAACGTTGTTTCGTCTCTTCTGGCGCGTAATGTGCGTGAACCATTTTTGAACAGAATTATCACCGGTGATGAGAAATGTATTATCTATGCGAATATTAAACGCCAAAAACAATGGCTCAGTCCTAGACAAAAAACACTTCTGACCCCAAAACCTGGACTCCATCAGCAGAAAGTGATGCTTTGCATTTAGGGGGACATCAAAGGAGTAATTCATTTCGAACTCCTCAATCCCCAGCGAAGTGTCAATGCAGAGATCTATTCTCAGCAACTGGAACGTTTGAATCAAGCCCTTTATCAGAAACGACCATGCACGTCCGGATGTGGCACGTTTGACGCAACACAATATTAGGGAGTCGGGTTGGGAAGTTCTCCCCCAACCACCATATTCTCCAGATATGGCACCATCAGATTACCATCTTTTACGTTCTCTGCAACACCATCTTAATAAGAAAATGTGTGCAAATGTGGAAGGTGTTAAAGAGGACATCGACATATGTTTTGCTTCAAAGCCAAGTGATTTCTTTAATCAGGGCATTAACAACCTGATTGTAAGATGTAAAAGCATTATCGAGAATAATGGAGACTATTTCATTTAATAAATGTTTTATTTTGATAAATAAGTTGTTCGGGTTTTTTTTATCTAAAAAAAGGCGACATTAATTTCTTGATGACCTAATACTTTTTGATCGTATATGATTGTATAATATCCTGAAACGCGTTTTGGTTTTGTTTGTTTTTAGCACAAAACCACATCGGGTTATCTACTCTTTCCGCCACAGGAAATTGAATCCCAGGTTTTAGCGTTGTAAGCCTGTAAAGTTACCACTGACCAACCAGAAAACATTAAGTTCAGAATACAAAGTTTAATAAGTTTTCTTTATTAAACACCCAACATAAGAGTTACTGCTGAGAGCATATGTGCTTAATATGGGATCATTACAGGCCATTATATACAGTACGCCTCAAAACAACTTTTAATTAATGTTATATGAATATGTCATATTCACTTAAAATCAAATATTAAAGACAGTGACATAAATAAAGAAACAAAAGTTTTAATTAAGTTAATCCCAAAAGTAGACGAAATTGATTAAGTTTTTCTTTTTTGTTAAAGAAAACTCTAACAAATTCTATTTGTTATTATTTCTATTTGGTTCTGAATGCATTAGTAGCTAATGTATGCAATCGATAAAAACCATTAAGTTTATTAGAACACGTGACACGACTATATTTTTTTTTACAACCGTGCAAGAATATTCACTTTGACACTAGATAATTTATTTATAAGTCGTCTTGGTGTTAAGTATTTCTTTTATAACACCATAATTATTAAAACAAATCAACATTTATTAGTATACAATAAATATTTCAAATTAGGACTGTCCCCAGTCTCATAATACAATAAAGCCCCCAGTGGCACAGCGGTATGCCTGCGGACTTACAACGCTAGAAACCGGGTTTCGATACCCGTGGTGGGCAGAGCACAGATAGCCCATTGTGTAGCTTTGTGCATAAATTGAAAACAAACATAGTACAATAAAACATTTATCCAGTAATTTACTGTATAAATATAAAAGCCTTGGCCGTGGAGAATGTAATACGGGATTGAAGGTTTGCCCCAAAATTTACCTATTTTTTCACACCTAATTGATTTGCTAGATAATTCGTTAAATTGTACTTAGTGAGTTTGCTAGCATGTTAGTTATGTGTGGAAATAGAAAAATCAGAAACTCTGGTTTCCATTTTCTGTTAGTTGGAGCTTACCCATAGAAGTGAGTGATGTAATTTGGGTCTCGTGGTGGAAGAACTTATAATAAAATTCTAAGCAGAGTTGTCTGTATATTTGTTAAGTGAAGTCATTCGCTTCTTGCCCAAACGGAGAGCATAGTCGTTATTTAAACGTTTCTTGTCCTGTCGCTGATTTCCTGTGCATGTTGATTTGCTAATAAAGTGTTTTTGTTCACTGAACGTTTTACGCTAGTCTCTTGAATTTCTGCTTCAACACATCTCTGCTTAACAAATATTAATTGTTTGTGTGGTTTGATAACTAAGTGCTCCTTAAAATAAGAGTCCCCAAAATTTCTCAACACAAGACCTCTAGAACATTCTGCATTCTGACCGAGTACCTTAACAGTATTTTGCATTACCTACGGCCCCCGGACACTTTTCTGTACCCCCACCCCCGGTAACCAAGGCTTCCAGTTTGAGAAACCTTACCTAAGAATATCACAAGTTTAATCTGTTATGCCAGTTGGATAAGGATGAAAGATTTAGAATGGTAGCTTGAGGCAGTTAATGCTAATTATTTCTGGACTATATTTTCCTTGTTTTTTTAGATTTAGAATGGTAGCTTGAGGCAGTTACCACTAATTATTTCTGCTCTATATTTTCCTTGTTTTTTTTAGATTTAGAATGGTAGCTTGAGGCAGTTACCACTAATTATTTCTGCTCTATATTTTCCTTGTTTTTTTTTAGCTTCAGTTTTCTTTCGAAACCTTATTAAACAAATATGTTTCAAATGGTAACAGTTACATATTTTAGCAGGTCAGTCAATATTGAATTTTTGCCGCGATAACATGTAGTAATCGCCATTCTGTTTGTTTTTTTTTATCATTTTACAGGAAATTTCACGTGCATCAAAGTAATCTTCAAGTTAAAGCGCCGTCTAGGATATTACATGTTTCACACGTACATCCCTACTTGTTTGATTGTCATCATGTCTTGGATTTCCTTTTGGATCAAACCGGAAGCTGTTCCGGCCCGCGTCACACTTTGTGTAACTAGTTTGCTAACTCTGTCGACTCAACATGCGCAATCGCAGAAGTCACTTCCACCGGTGTCCTATATCAAAGCGATTGATATCTTCATGTCGTCTTGTACAGTCTTTGTATTTGCTTCACTAATGGAGTACGCTGTTGTGAATATCATATCTGGTGATGGTGACAGTGATAGCAACGAACCAGTAAAAACGAACTTACGAAGTGTCGTCCTTTCGGCAAAGGTTAGCTATATGCTTCAGAATAATAAAACACATACATATAAACATTCAGAAATTTCTGGAAAGCTAAAAGTACTCGGATGTTTTACTATTTAAGTTAGTGGGTGGAGGTAGTTCATAAATATTAAATTTAAACAATGACCTTCTTTAACTTTTGATGGAGAACAGAACATAATTATAAATAAAAAGGATAATGAAAATAAAATATTTCCGGAACTCATATTTTTTTAATTAGAAAAGATAAGGTTTTATTAAAAAATGTATCACAGTTTCTTAGGATGTGACCTATTCTAGTATAATGTTAAGTCTTCTAGGCCGTTAGTTGGTTTTAGTGGTTTTATGATTTTAACTGTTCAAGGTGATGCCATCGACAAAAAGAAAAGTAACAGTTCCAAATATTCAAATTGTGTAGCACAGCAGTAATCGGTTTCCTTGCTTCAATACAAAATGTGTTTTCAGAAACTTTATTTGATATAATTATCAGTTCTTTTATTTTACTATTTTGCTATTAAGGCATTGACTTAACGTAAACTATATCGAGTAGCGCACATCTGACATAGTTTAATTTAACAACAAAACAATAAAAAAGAGATACATAACGCATATTAAAATTCTTAGAAGAAATGGTACATCGCCTGGCAAATGGATGTTAAAAAAACACCACAACGCGTAAAATACTTTATTTGAATAATTGTTACTTTCTTTGTGTTTTTAACTTATTACTATCCAATACCTTCTCACCATGAAAGTAAAATCCATTGGAGGGAGCAAATGAAATCCAATAAGGACCTTTCAATTTTTTTCAGGCGCTTATAGTTACTCTTATTGGTCATTGCTGCGCTCGGGATCCTCCAGTCTGTTTCGAATATTTAAAAGTGTTCGTTTTATTTCGGATGTTCAAGCTATGATACAGTAGAGCTATCTGCGCTAGCCGTTTCTAATTTTGAACATATATACCAGAGAGAAAGCAGCTAGTCAACAGCACCCACCGACAACTTTTGGACTACTCTAATTGAATAACGGGATTTGACCGTCACATTTATAACGCATCCACGGCCCCGATGTACGCAACGTATGCCATAGATCCTTGGTTCGCAGTCCAGAACGCTAATCATTAGGTTACACACGGTCTCTAAAAATATTATTAAAGTGCAAAATTTATATTTGAATAATTAATTTCATTTACTAATCTTGTCAATCTATCTTAATTGCCCCCCAGTGACACAACGGTATGTCTACGAACTTACAACGCTAGAAAACGGGTTTCGATACCCGTGGTGGGCAGAGCACAGATAGCCCATTCTGTAGCTTTGTGCATAAATTCAAACAAACAAACCATCTTAATTTCTTATTATAAAATTAATACTTAAAATGCACAGTACTTTTGGTTCAATACCAATACCTTAGTTTAGCAAATTAAAAACGATCTTTTGATTCTGTATCTAAATCATAGTTTTAGCAACTTAAGAAAAAAGAAAAAAAATCACTAAGAGGCCCAACAGTTTTAAGTTCATGTAAAGTGGGGTTCCTCGGGGCTCAGTCCTAGGACCTTTGGTTTTTTTGATTTAGATTAATGATATAAAAGAAGGAATGGACAATATATTACTTAAAGTTGCAGATGATATTAATTCAGGTCTTGGGTGTTGCTAGCTGTGAAGAGGATGCTGCTGCTTTACAAAAAGATTTAAATCACTTAGTAAGTTAGGCAAATAAATGGCAGATGGGTTTTAATTATAATAAATTCAAGATAATTCATGTGGGTTATCATAATTGGAATTAAAAGTATAATTTAGATGAGAATAACCTTCACAGTGTTGTGAAAGAAAGGGATCTAGATGTATTAGTCGATCAGTCTCTTAAGCCATCCAAACAGTGTGCTGTTGCTAGTGGTAGGGCAAATAAGATTTTAGGTTGTATCTACAGAAATATTGAATACAAATCTAAAGAGGTTGTAATCTCATTGTATAGGTCGCTGGTTAGGCCACATTTGGAGTATTGTGTTCAGTCTTGGGCTCCTTACCTTAGGAAAGATATTGAATTGTTGGAAAGGATTCAGAGAAGGGTTACTAGAATGGTGCCTGGGATGGAGTGGTTGTCATATGAGGAGAGGTTGAAATCTCTGAAACTGTTTTCTCTTGAAAAAAGAAGAGTTAGGGAAGATCTGATTGAGGTGTTTAAGATTGTAAAGGGAATTGATAGTGTTTATGCATCATAGTTTTTCATCCTTAACAGTGAGAATAGTATGACTAGGGGACACAAATATAAATTTTGGCGGGGTAGGAGTCATCTTCAGCTAAAACAGTTAAATTTTTATAACAGGGTGTTTCATTTTGGAATGGGTTGCCTTTGGATGTTGTGGAAGCAGTAAATTTAAGTGAGTTTAAGAGAAAGCTTGATAACTATATGAATGATAAAAGGTTGGTTTTAATATTTTTTAAAATTTATTTATTAATAATTTTAGTTTAGTTTAGAAGATGGAACAGCCGAGATGGGCCAATAGGTCCCATGTTGTTCCAAAACGTTATGTTATGTTAAAGTTAAAAAGTAGAAAAGTAAAGCAGGTAAAAGAAGCATAAATTATCATACTCAATTTTTTTAAGTTCACCCGAAGTAATACATTTTTTCTCTTTTTTCTAATGTTTACTTTTTATGACTCTTTCTAAACAGCCCAACGTTGTACTTATCTATAAGCGTTACTATTTTTACATCATAAAATTTCTGTCTAATCAGTTTTACTATTTTATTCCAGGAAGGGAGCAAGGTTCCAAATGGGGCTAAAACAACACTGCTTCTAACCAGTGCCCAGAAAAGAAGAAATAATGTTATCATGATAGACAAAGTTTCGCGCGTCGCTTTTCCCTTATCCTTTGTACTGTTGAACGGAATTTATTGGTTTGTGTTCTTGAACATAAGTGCAGAGAATTTTGAAATCTGACGAAGTTCTGATTCAGTTTTCACCGGACTGGGTACTATGGCATGATTTAGGATCTGGACTTAATTAAACTTAAATAACATATCAAGAGAAAAAAAATACTACCCAAATATTTCGCTGTGAAATGATACAGTAAAAGTACGTTCAACTGGTACATCATTTTATGCACTGGTGAACTTGGTGGAGTGAATAAATGGATGGCTGATGGCCGATAATGAAAAAAGCGTTGCGACAGTGGACTTGTTGCTGAATGGTTGCTTACAAGCTACAGAAATACTGATCACGTGAAGGAATGTAGTTGAAAATTCGTAGCATTAATAGTGAATTGAAAATCCGTGAAATTATAGATCTATGTAATAGCGTAAATATTCGTAGAAACTCGATACTCATTTGGCTCCAAAAACATAATGATACTTATGTTCATGTCGATTACAATATGCCTAACAAGGGCTTCTTCATCTTCTCTATAGATTACCACCTTTTGCTGAGTTTCTGAGCTGAGAGTAGATTACTTTACGATGCTGGCAAATGTCATGGTGTGAATTACCTACGATCAAATAACAGAAAAAACTTTGTTCTCTTAGCATTCTGGAATAATTGGCTTGTAAAAGTACTCAGAAGACGTAATCTTTCTCTCAGTGTAGTATATTAGTAGATTCTAACTTTTCAATAATGCACTTTGTAGTTAATTTAAGCAGTAGGACATTCATGTTAATATATTCCAGTATAAAAATGTTTAATGACCTTTACGGGTACGACATAACCTGTCATTTCACTTCGTCTTTCTATAAGTAGAGCTTATATGTAAGTATGATATCGTATTAACATATTAAAAACAAAAAAAACAAAAACAATTCAAATGTCTTTATGAGCAAGCTTTTATTATTTGATTGTGAGATAATAAGAAACTTTAAATTGAACGAATCTTAAAAGTTTTAAAAAAATAATAAAGAGTTTTCTTCTGTGTATCTTTCTGTTCCTTGTTTCATTGCAAAACGTTTTCTATTTGTGTTAATAGAACAACAAACACATAATAAGTCATGAAGATTTAGTTTTATCTTGAGTGGATTTTTATGACAATTCATGCCTGTGAAAACTCTTCTCAAATCACATCAATTGCCTTTAGTTGTAATGCTTGTTATCTTATTTAATTGTTAAATGTTGTTTTTCTTTCTTATTGGACAATAGTTTGTTCCATTTGTAATAGTATTTCTCTTATCTCGTAAGATATTAAACATAATCATTGCAATTAAAATGGTATTTCTTGACCCTTTCTAAAATAAGCTTTGTTGTATAGGGGTGGTGGTAGTGAATTAATATATTCGTACCTTTAAAATATTGATAAGAACACCATAACCACGTTTAAAGGCTAAGATCCTATAAGATCGTTTTTCATCATGACGTCATAAATATTTTTATAGAAGAATAATTAAAGTTTTTCAACTTATAGACTCTATATAATGTAGTAGGATATAAAATGCAGCGAGCTCACGAGTTTTCTTTTAAAATGTATGACATTCCGGTATTAAATTGCTTCAAGTTATTTGTCATCGTCAATGACAACATACTTAATCTAGACAAGACAGCCACTTGAAACAGCTACCAGGAATAAAACGTCGTTAGTAATATGTTTAATTATTCAATCATGAAACATGCATTTCCTTTTATCGAAGAGAATACCGACGTCTATACGCCATGATGTTACACAGTAAATTAGAAAAATTAAATAATTATTATCTAAAACTGTCAACTTTTAGAATCTTAAAATACTTAGAGTTTGTTTTCTATCGTTTTCGAGTTTTTCTGAAATAAGAATAATTTATCACCATTATATGAACACACACACACACATAGGGTAGACTTTTCCAAAAAACAAAACACTACAGGACTACAAAATCCATATAAATGAACGTTAATATGTGTTGAAAACAGTACGTCTTTCTTTTCAGTATTGGTACCTTTATGTATTTTTATTGCACTTTTAATGTTTATTATGTTAATAAAAAAAAAAAATTCAAGCACAATTTCCTATCCTTTGTTACAAACGAGTTTTTATTTCACCCGTCCAACGGACGGGTTTTCAAGCGAGTGTGCAATAAGGAAAGAAAAGCCTTAAAAGTGGGTATTGTTTCAGAACGAGAAAATACAGATCTGCTTTCATTCCTGCTACCAAAGCAACAGAGCAAGTTTTGACTGTTCCTCCTCTAATAACCCAAACACCGTTATATCGTGTCCAGACTGTGAAACTGAGGGCTCGTGGCTTTTGTACCATTACCGCAAAAAAACACATTTGGGACCGTGTGTGTTATAAGAGTGAAGGTCAAATCTTACTAGTCGATGAGACAACATTCGTTCGAAAGTTGGAGGTGGGTGTCATGAATTATCTGCATTCCCTCTAGCCCATCAGTTCACAGTTATTGACGACAATGCGAGGACATCCGTTTTGTTAGGTTATGAAACTTTGCGCGAAAATTATTAACAAACAAATCTTTGTAACTTTAAAAGTCTTATGAGTGATCAATGTACAATTCAAAGTACTTTCTTAGGGCAGTTAGCTTCTGAAACTTTATATACTCACGTGTTTGACAGAGTTAGTTATAAGAATATCTTGTTTGGTTGAAATTCGGCGTTCTTTCAATAAAAGCTAAGTTTAATTAATCCCCATGCAACGGGGTACGCGATGATTTATTAAATTTCGCAAACCTGATAACGGACGAGTCTATTACATCGTATTGAATATTGTTAGGCCTGTACTGTTTATGAATGTTCTCAACAACAATAAGTTCCACACTTAAATGTTCGCCAGTTAGCCAATTTTAAGCTTTTTAATACTGTTGCTTTCTAATTTATTTTTCCAACAATCTGGAAAGAAGGTGAACTATAGATATGATGAAAATTGGAAAACGTTTGCATAGAAAGTATATAGAAGTGATAAAGTAGGCAACTTGCTTGTTTTAAATTGAAATCGACTCTGAATGGTGGAGAAAACTGTGTATTTTGTTGATGGATGATGTTTTACTATTTTTCTAAATCTCTTCTAAAAAAAAGAGCCAAGTGGCTAGCGTGTCGGGGTGTATGTCGAAAGGTCTAGAGTTTGAGACGTATGCTGTTGAACAATCTCTGCGCTTTCAGCTTTAGAAGCTTCATAAAAGTAACGGTCAATTTCGTTATTTGGCTCCAAATCGAACAGAACTCTTGTTTAAAATTCAGGACCCCAAATCGTGGGTATCTCGGAACTGACCATTCACTCACGTGCGCATAAGGTGCTGTTTAGATTGAATATTCCTTAGCAAAAGACACACAGTAGTATCTTAACATATAGTTTGCTTTTACTTTCATTTAACTAAGTAGATAGAAACAACCGTAAACAATAATACATTTCAATTTATAGGATTATACTTTTGGAAGTTCATTTTATAATTGCAGAAAGTTCAATGAGAACCTCTCAAAACGACACTAAAACTACTTCTGAAAGAAAGGACACTATAACGTACCACAGAGATATCTTATCTTATTTAAACTTACGTTTTGTTCGTTTGTACACAATGGGATATCTGTGCTGTACCCGTCGCGAATACCAAAACTTAATGTTTAGCGTTATAAGCCATCAGTCCGGCGAGAGGGGGCGTTCTGTACTAATACGAAACTGGATATCATTATGCATTTAATGATTTTGTGTTCAATATCTAAAATGTTTCTAATTTTAGATTTAATGTCACGTTTATACAAATATATATGTTTTGGTTTATTTTTGGATTGTATGCTCTAACCGGTAGTGAATATATGTGTAGAGTATTCGCCAAAGTAAGTTCCAGGCATGGACTAGTATATGGCTTGCCGGGCTGTGGATCAGAAGGTCAAATATTTGGGCTGTGAGGCTGCTAAACATACTCCGCACTTTCAAGGCTAGAGAAAGCACTTCTATCGGCGAGTGCTGTTGCCTTCCCTCTGACCAGTAGTTCAAAATTAGGGACATAAGGGTCTCTGACCTGGTTGTTTAGCTCGTATGCCGTGTAAGATATTGTTTAGGTTGCAAAAAACCAATATCACTATACTTAACTGTCATATGTTATACCTTGTTGAGGATTTGTTGAATGTTCAGCTAAGCATATCATAAAAGAGTGGGTCGATTTTATGTCCCTAGCAAACTACATTTAGTACATCATTTTCAATTATTAACTACCTAAACAATATTTTTAAAATTTCGATGAGTAAAATGATGAACTTCCTATCGTGCGCTTACAAGAAAATTAATTCGATTGGGGTGAAATTATGCGATCAGCTAAATATGGTGCTTCTGTGCATAAGTTCCTAAAAGTTTCAATCATTCAATAGGAAAGTAATGAAATAATTTTATGTGTTTGTTTTTTCTTTATACTTCTTAGTAAAGATGTTATGAATATTTTTCACGTGAATTTTAGAAAAATACATACCGCCTACGCTACGATATTATGCTCTGAAATGGAGCCAGATGACCACAATAAACTTTTGAGATATAAGAGTGACGTAATATGTAACTTGAAAAAAAAAGTTAACTCTTCTGAAAATGTTGCTACTTTTATAAACGGCAATTCTTAATTCTTCTAAACCAGTGGTTCCCAACCTGGGGTTTCTGGACCCCTGGGGGTCCGCGTAGGTAATACCATCTCATTAAACAAGTAAGTTTTTTAATACTGGTGTTTTTGTTAATT